TTTATGAAAAAATAGTTAATTTTGAAATAATAGAGATAATGCCTCCCCCCCCCCCAACAACAACAACTTGGGACGAAATACATAATGCATACTGTGCCGAAATCCGAGCACACGAAGACGACCTCAATGGGCCGACTCATCGACTGACCTCAGTACAAGCAGAATCCAAAAAACATCGAAGAAATGATATCAGAAGAGATCCCGTGGCCTCACGACCAAACCGGGAACGACATCTCCCATATGTCAGAACTACCGATGCATCCTCATCTCGCCATGAAGAAGGCCCACCCCGATCAAGAACAGGGACTCACCAGAATGAGAGAGGTCTGCCCTATTTACTACCCGCTCACAATTTTTGCGTGTCACCTACAGAGATCGTTTATGCCTTGGAGAAGCTCGGACCAAAGGTAAAGTGGCCACAAAAGATGAGGTAGGACCCGAATACCAGAAAATCAGATGCCCTTTACGAGTTCCATCAAGAGCGAGGACACAAAACTGAAGATTGCATCGCCCTAAGACAGGAGGTCGTAAACATGTTGCGACAGGGATACCTCAAGGAATTGCTGAGCGATCGGGGAAGGACCAATTTTTCCAGAGGACGCGAACAACATCAAGGGTCGCCGAAGCCGCCCTCGCTAGCCCGCACCATCCACATGATCATCGGTGGCGGGGACGACGCTTCCATCAACAATATGCAGTTCACCACAACCCACAATCCCAAACGGTCAATCACCCACGAACGGTATGATGAACTCAAAGAAAGTACCATCTTCTATAAATCAGATACCAACGGTTTGGCTTTCCCTCACTATGATGCTCTCGTTATCACTTTATGAATTTTAGATACCGACGTAAGACGGATTATGGTAGACGATGGGAGCGGCGCGTGTATTATCCATCCTCAAGTACTCGCTCAAATGAAACTCGAGGACAAGATAGTGCCACACAACATCACACTGACAGGCTTTAACAATGCAGTTGAGCGAACATCTGGTAAGATCACACTCCCCGTCCTAGTGGGTGGCGTCACTCTGGAGACTAAATTCCACATCATGGACCAGGACACGGCATACAACGCTATAATAGGGCAACCATGGCTACACACCATGAGAGCTATACCCTCCAGCTTGTACCAAGTCATCAAATTCCCAACTCCATGGGGCATATTCAGTGTACGAGGGGAGCAGCGCACATCCAAGGAATGTAACTACATCACCCTAGACTGCACGGCCACCCAACAAACAAAGGATAAAGAAAAAGAGGCATAACAATTAACAAGGTCGAGGTCGGAATGTGATGACGGCGAGGACGTCATCAGAGACCCCGATATGATCGAGGCCGCAGGATCGACCATAGAGGACCTCGACCCAATTCAATTGGACAGCAAAGACCACAGCAAGAAAACTTACATCGGCTGAAACTTCAGGAACCATGTAAGTTTCATAAATTTTTAACTGATAATGCGGACTTGTTTGCTTTTAGTCACGCAGATATGCCAGGTATCCCAAAGAAAATCGCCACGCACAAATTGAACGTCGATCCACTTTACCCTCCGGTGAGGCAAGTTAGACGTAAGTTCAACTCCGCAATTAATGATGCAGTATATGAAGAAGTGGAAAAATTATTGGAAACGGCTCTGTCAGGGAGTCGAAGTATCCCCAATGGGTCGCCAACATAGTCATGGTGAAAAAGAAGAATGGCAAGTGGAGAATGTGCGTAGATTTCACTAACTTGAAGAAAGCTTGCCCCAATGATTCGTTTCCATTATCTCATATCGACCAATTCATCGACACAACAGCTGGGCACCAGCTATTAAGTTTCTTGGATGCCTACTCGAGCTATAATCAGATCCTCATAGAGGAAGAGGACCAGGAAAAAACCACCTTCATCACCTACCAGGGGACGTACTGCTACAGGGTCATGCCCTTCTGATTGAAAAATGCGGGGGCAACTTACCAAAGGCTGGTGATTAAAATGTTCAAAGAACAACTTGGAAAAATGATGAAAGTCTACATCGACGACATGCTGGTCAAATCCAAAAGGAAAGAAGATCACATCGACCACTTGAGAGAAGCCTTCGGCATACTCAGACAATACGGTATGAAACTGAACCCTGAAAAATGTGCATTCGGCGTGGCCTCGGGAAACTTCTTGGGTTTCCTAGTGTTGCAGGGAGGTATCGAGGTCAATCCTGAATAAATCAAGACCATTGAAGGGATGCCAGAGCGCTTGACTACCAAAAAACAGGTCCAGAGGCTGACTGGCCGTATCGCCACCCTTTCGAGGTTCATCTCACGATCCTCCGATAGGTGCCACAAGTTCTTCGGCGTACTCAAAAAGGAGAACGGCCTCCAATGGACCCCTGAGTGCATCTAATCCCTGAAGGAGTTAAAAATATACTTGTCCTCGCTACCGTTGCTTTCAAAACGAGAACTAGGACAACCTCTCCTCGTCTATCTCGCCGTGTCCGAAGTAGCTGTGAGCGCAGTCTTAGTCTAAGAAAATAAAAGTACATAACC